CCACGCCCCATCTCTGAGACATCTGTCAGGGGCCCGGTCTGCACGGTGTCCGATGGGGGCAGCTCCTGGGGATAAGGGGACCTCTGGAAGCCTGCAGAGAGGTTGCCAGCTGCATCCACAGCGTCCCACACACTCACCACAGTGCCCAGGCGTAGGGGGTCCAGCTTTGGGGGGCAGCAGGTTCTAGCTCCTGAGCTGTCATCCACCTGCCACCGCCGGCCACCTGGGCCTCTCCCCAGGAAGCCAGGTGGCCCCACTCCTTGTTGCCAGGAGGTAGCATACTGTTCCACTGTGCGGACCTGGGCCTGGCGAGCTGGCACCTTGTCCGGGACACCGCCTGCCTCCACCCGCCCCTCCACCTGTTTGCTCAGACTCCGAGGAGTGAAGTGTATCAGGACAGGGGCGGAGGCACCCCCTACTTGGCTCTTACCCAGGAGGGCAGCACCTGGCCTGAGGTGCTCCCTTCCTTTACCTTGGGGGGCTTCTGGGGTGGCATCGCCATGCCGCTGTCCCAAGGCCCCTCCGCTGGCCACCTCGCCAACAGTCTTGGGTGCAGGTACGGCTATGGCAGCCAGGTCTCCGCTTCCTGGGGGCTGCAGATCCTGGGTGCCTGCTGTCGGCGAACTCCCCTGGCCGCATCCTGGAAGGTCTGGCTCCCCCTGCCCGGAGTTCTGTCCCTGGAGGCCACCACTGACCTCGGACTCTGGGGGCAGGGCTGGCCCAGCTCCACCCGCCAGGGGCTGGGCCGGGGGGCCTGTGGACGCTGGTCCTGCTGCCTCTAGGTCCTGCCCAGAGCCAAACCAGTGCAAGGCCAGTGCGGTGGCAGCCACCACAGCCAGTGCCAGCAGGGTGAGCACGGCGCTGTCCCAGTCATCATCCCCGTCCCCATCCCAGCCCCAGCCAGGGCCAGCAGGCTCTGAGAGTCCCTGGATCATGGTGCCGGGCCGCAGGCCAGGAGCTGCGTGTGCCCCGCGCGAGCCCGTCCTGCAGTCAGGCCGGCTGCTGTCAGCCCAGATGGCACCGCGGAGCACCCCGCCCAGCACGCTGCCGTTAAGGTGGACTGCTCTGGGGCTGTCGCTCTGCCTGGCCTGGGAGGGGGCTCCCTGAGCCCGGACCTGGCTTAGGGGTTTGTCAGTCAGGCCTAGCCGGAGTTATCAGGGGACAACCTGCAACAGCTTCGGGAGTTCAGGGGCCTCTCTGGGCCCCCCACCTAGCCCCTGCACCCCTCTCTGTAGTGGCAAATAGCAATGTCCCTCAACGCTGTCCTGCATCCCAGCCCACTGCTTTTGCCTGATAGACCCTCATACCCCCAAACTCCTCCCACTCCCCAGTGTCCCTCCTCCAAGCCAGGGTCCGGTCTCAGGGGCCCTGGCAGGAAGAGTCAGCCACAGGGAGATGTGATCTGGAGCCTGAGCAACACGATGCAGCCTGATACAGTTACCGGAAACCGGAGAGGACGCTGGGGAGGGGGAGGTGGGGACACAGCAGTGGTGCCAGCCCACGGCGGGGCTCAGACCAAGGAGGGAGGCCATGGAGGGCATGGGCCTGGCACCGAGCACTGCCCAGCACAGAGATGGGCTGCTTGGTGGCGTGACCTCCCGTCACTCTCGGTGCGAAGTGGGTCCTTACCCTGCTCTCCCCTGGGACACGCCCGGCTGCTCAGGACCTCCTCCCACCTGAGTTCAGCAGAGACAGGACAGTTTTCAACAGCAACTTTCTAAGCCATTAGGAGAAAAAAATGAATGAAATAAAGAAAATCCAAAAGTTATAGTTCTCTTTTTATAGGCCCGGCTTATGACAACCCACCTGGCCCTTCTAGAGCCTCCTGGGCCTCCTCCGGCACCCCTGGACTGTCTTGGCTGCCCAGATGCTGCTCTCACCAGGCCCCTGGGGAGCCCTGAGCCCAGCCTGACCCACTCCCATTGAGCACGCCTGCCTGCCAGCCAGCCCCGGCGCCCTTCAGAAACCTCTGGCCCTGTGTGTCTCATCTCGGTCCCCAACCTTCCCTCACCCCAGCCTCATCACTCCACCCCACCCTCCACGCTGGGACCCAGGCCCCTTGCAGGCCGGCATGCAAATGCCTCTGCTGGGCAGGCACCTGGCTGCCCCTCTGCATATGGCGTCTCGGGAGGAGACTTGTCCCTTCCATCTGTGTCTCACTTAAGCTTATCTCAGGAGTGAGTCTTGGGACAGGCGCCAGGTGAGGCCTAGACATGAAAAAGAGCCTGGAGTCCCTGGAACAAAGCAGCACTACCCACCCCCCACCCCACCCCACCCCCAAACATGTGTTTGTTCCTTCTGCTGGGACACAGGACTTTTCACTGACTCAAGCAGCAAGGCGATGGCCAAGGAGTGTCCCTGGCACCCAGCCTGGGCTCTGCCGAGCTTCAGATATCTCCCCCATTTGGTCACCTCTTAGCTCCCCGAGCATATCAGATGACAGAGGGTGGAAGGTGGGCCATGCTTTAAGGTGGACCTCAGTCGGGGGCGGGCTGTTTGGACACTGCCCTTATTCTCCGCCCCAGTCGCAGGCTCTGCCTCTTGGTTAAGTTTGGGGTCCAAAGACCTTGAGAGGATGATGACATCCCCACATGCACCCCTTTATAGGCCATGGAGAATGCCATCGGGCATCGCTGCCCAGCTTCCGAGGGCCCTTGTCGTCAGTCTGAGCCCCAGGCTGCTTCAGAGAACGGGAGATATGTCCACCAAGTGATACCTTCAAACACTGCAGTGGAGAGAACCGAGCACAGAAACTCATCCAAGCACGTGTGTTTTGTATATGTATAAACAAGTCTAGAATAATGTTTAAGGCTTAGAAAGTATAAATCCCAAATTTAATAATTATAGCCAACAAGGAATATTTCATAAAGAATTGGGAAGTTTTATGCAAAAAAAAAAGTTATTTAAAAAAGAGAAACAATACAATATGATTTATAGAGGAAAAATTAAAACATGTAAATATTTGACAGTATGGGAATGATGAAGAAAACATGCACATCACTTTAAAATGTGACGTTGACAAACTCATTTAAATAATGATTGATAATGTGGCTGTGAAGTTTAATACAAATATTAAGGGGGAGTCTCCTAATGGAAGAGGCATACAAAAAAAATGTTAAATAATGACTAAGTATGGAAAGGAAAAGAAAGAAAGAAATCATAATGGAAGTCGCCTCTTATTCCAAAGGGGAGAACATCTAAATTCTGTCTAAACATTGTCTAAATCTTGAAATCAGTTGCTATATTCAGTTCAAATGTAAGTTAAAATGTTTCTTATTCTAAGTTGTTATAGACATTTGCCACATTCGGGGATTGGATAACTTAATGTGACAAAGATGACAACTGATGAAAGACAATTCAGAGGTTCAGAGGACCCAAAGCGTCTCACACAGGAAGAGAAAAGGAGCCAGGGCCAACATGCGGCAGGTAAAACCGCAGCGAGCCCGCAGACGGGAGGTCCCCAGGGCGGCCGGGCGGCCGGGTTAGCCGCAGGGAATGGCAGCCTTACGTCGGCTTCTCAGCGACGGGAAGATGGAGGCCAGAGGACAGCGCGATGAAATTTCCAACTTGCTGAAAGAAAATAACTTCCAATCTAAGATTCTAGGCTTAAAAGATACAGCTTTCAAGAACGAAGGCAAAATAAAAAACATTTTCAGACAACTAGTCTTTTTGAAAAGAAATCCTAAACTCTGTATTTTTTCAGGCATAAAGAAAATCATAGCAGACGGAAGGACTAAGGATGCCAGAAGGACCGAGATCAGCAGCAACAAAAGGTGGGAGCATATTATAAACCTAAATGGAGAGTAACTTCGTAAAACGAGGATAAGGTCTTGTGAGTGTCTTCATCGTGGAGAGTTCAAAGAAAACAGCGGAACCAATGAAAGCAACGAACTGACTTCTCTTGGGCAGTCGAGCTAAGTGTCTGACAAACACAGCTAGACTGACCGAGAGAAAAAGGAGAAAGACACAACTAAAATCAGAAACAAAAGTGGGAACATTACTACTGACCTTACGGAAAGAGAAGGGTTGGAAGAGAACACTGGGAACAATTATACCTCAACCAATTAGAGAACCTAGAGCGAATGGAAAAATTCCTGGAAACATGCCAACTACCAGAAAAGACTCAGAAGAAATAGGAAATCTTAACAGACCTATAACAATAGAGAGATTGTGTCAGAATCAAAAGCCCCCAAGAGAAAACCCAGGACCAGCCGGCGTCACTGCTGAATGTTCTCGCACATTTAGAGAAGAGCTAACACCATCCTTCTCCAACTCGTTCCCAAGATTGAAGAAGCAGGAACATTTTCTAATTTATTCTATAAGGCCAGCATTCCCCTGATACCGAAGCCAAATAAATACATCACAAGAATAAAAAATTACAACCAGTATCCCTCATGAACATAGATGCAAAAATCCTCAACAAACCCAACAGCATAGTAAAATATTAGACACCATGGCCAAATGGGATTTATCCCAGGAATGCAGGGGTGGCTCAACATAGGAAAATCAATTAATGTAATACATCGATTAGAATACATTAATTTTTCAACTACATTAATGTACTAGAGTACATTAATAGAACAAAGTGAGAAAAGCACATGATCATCCCAACTGACACAGAAAGTACACTTGACGAAATCTGGTACCCTTTCACGATGAAAATGCTCAGAAACCAACAATCAAAGGGGATTACTGCAACATGCTAAAGGGCATTTTTTAGAAACCCGCAGCTCACGTCATATTCAATGGTGAAAGACTGAGACCACGCCCTCCCCTAAAATCAGCACAAAGAAAGACGCCAGCTTCTGCTGCTGCTGTTCAGCATTGTCCCGGAGGTTCTGGCCAGAGCTACCAGTGAAGAGAAAGAAATGAAAAGGCGTCCAAATTCGAAAGGAAAAGGTAAAACTATCAATTCACAGATGACGTGATCTTACACCTAGAAAATCCTAAAGAATCAACAGGAAAGCAACTTGAGCTAGTGAACAATTTTAGCGAAATTGCAAAACATAAGATCAACACACAAAAACCAGTCGTGTTTCTACACACCAGCAACAAACGATTCGAAAGGGAAATTAGGAAAGCAATTCCATTTACGATACTATGTAAAAGAATTAAATACTTGGGAATAAATCTAACCAAGGAAGTGAAAAACTTATATGCTGAAAACAACAAAACACTGCTGAAAGAAATTAAAGAAGCTCTAAAGCAATGGAAAGACATCCGTGTTCATGGACTGCGAGACAGGATCATTACGACGTTAACGCTATCCTAGTGATCTACGAATTCTACACGACATCTCTAAGAATCCCGATGGCCATTTTTTGCTGAAATGGCAAAGCCCATCCTCGAATTTATATGGACTTGAAAGAGGCTGTGAATAGCCGAAAGAATCCTGAAAAAGAACAAAGTTGGAAGACACACGTCCTAATTTCCAAACTCACTACAAAGCTACAGTATTCGAAGCGTGCGGTACTGGCGTTCAGGATAGACATATGGACCAACAGAATAGAACTGCAAGGCCAGAAATCACCCCGTGCATCTATAGCCAATTGATTCTGACAGGGTGCCAAGACCATTCGATGGAGAATAACAGTCTCATCAATAAAAGGTGCTGGGATATCTGGATAGCCACATGCAAAAGAATGATGTTGGACCCCTACCTCACGCTATGTACAAAAGTTAAATGGATCAATGATCTAAATATGAGGTAAAACCATAAAACTCTTAAAATAAAGCATAGGAGTAAATTTTTATGATCTTGAATGTGGCAATGAATCCTTAGATATAATGCCAATAAAAATGAGCAACAAAAGAAAACTAAATAAATTAGACTTCGACAAAAAGTAAAACTTTTGTCCATCAAAGGACATTATCAAGAAAGTACCGACTTACAGAATGGGATAAAATATTTTCAAATCGCATATCTGATAAGGGTCTAGTATCCAGAATGTATAAAGAACTCTTGCAACTCAACTACAAAAAGACAAACGACCATATTTTTAATGGGCAAAGGACTTGAATAGGTATTTCACCAAAGAAGATGTATAAATGACTAGTAAGCACATAAAAAGATTCTCAACATCCTCAGTTATTAGGGAAATGCAAATCAAAACCACAGCGAGGTACCACATCACATCCTCTAAGATGGCTATAAATTAAAACAGTAGTAAATGAAAGTGCTGGCAAGGATGCGGAAAAACTAGAACTCTCATATAGTGCTGGTGGGGATGGAAAATGGAAAACGACTTGGCAGGTATTCATAAAGCTAGACATAGAATTGTTATATGACCCGTGTACACCTAAAGTAATTAAAAACAGGTTCTCAGACATGTACCTGTACACTCAGGTTCAGAACAGCACAATTCACAATAGCTAAGAGGAGAAAACAGACCCAATGTCCATCAATAGATGGAGAAACAAACTGCGGTAGGTACACACGTTGCATCAGACAGAGAAAGGAAGGAAACTCTGACACCCGCTACATCTATCAACCTCAAACGCATTCTGCTAAGTGCGATAGGCCAGACACAAATGGACCAACGGTGTGATTTCACTTGTATGAGGTACCCAGAGTAGTCACAGTCGGAGAGACAGGCAATAGATAGGAGGTCACTGGGCTGAGAGAGGAGTCCTGCTTAATGGGTACAGACTTTACGTTGGGGATGATTAAAACGTTCGGGGCACTGAGAGCCGAGGCGAATGTATTTAATGCCACTGAACTGTACTCCTACGAATAACTTAAATGATGAATATTATCCGACGGTCCCCAAGCTGTCATTATTCTGCAACACAGGCCAGTCGTAGATGTTGCAAAGGCACCATGTAAGGTCCCAGCAGCGTGGGTGACCAGGAGCCCTCATCACATTTTACTTTCGGAGGTTTCCCCAAAGAGGAACTAGGTATATCTAGTTTCTTGAAGTAACAAAAAACGAATGAGTCAAAGAATTTCCAGGCCCAGAAACAGCCCTCAGGAGTATGCGGGTTCTGGTGACAGGACACCAGGGTCAGTCGGGGCCTGGCTGTCTCTGGCAGACTGGCTCCGCCCAGCTGAGTCTGTCCTGGGCTAAGCCACCTAAGGAACATCCAGACTCACATCTCAACCATTTAGAAGTTCCGTTAAGAATCACCAGGCCAGTCGACATCAGCAACCAATATCTAATAAATAAGTCAAGAAATAACGGTTTGTTGGGGGGAAAAAAAAAGGCATCAGTGTGTTATTTAGAAGTGTTCAGTACCAGAGTTGGTGGAGGAGGCTGCCTCCACTGGTCCTGATGACTGTGGAGGGCAAGTAGAAGTCAAATACCATATGTATTTGTTTTAAAATTTGTGGAAAAATAAGAACAAAGTACATCGAAAGAAATTAAATTCTTGCCAAACATTACAAAAAATTTCCCCGATGATAAACAAATACTGACTAATAGACAAACTGTGCCATTAACGGGGGTGGGGGGCGTGGTGGTGCAGAGCATGCAGAGCACCCACTGGTGGTGGTTGCTGTGCACAGTCCTCCAAACTCGCCTCGTTTATAGAAACGGCTCCAATGTACTTAACGTGAATCCATGTAAAATCTTAAGTAGCTATTTTAAAAGTGGATTACAATTTATATCCGTCAAAGACGTATATCCATTAATGGCTCAAGGCACATCTGTGATTCATTTGTGACCCCCCACTGCACCTCATCTCAGTGGCTGTTTTCTGCTATAATCAGTGAAAATGAATTAATTAAAGCTACATTAACAGTGTGGATGACTCTCAGGAGCATAATGTTGATTTCTGACACATGGTGGGAATGTAAAATGGTTCAACCACTCTGAAAAGTTTGGCAGTTTCTTTAAAAAGCCAAACATACACTTACCGTCCACCCTGCAGTGGCGCCGGGCACTCATCCCAGGGGAATGAAAGCTCTGCCCACACAAACACCTGGTCAAGATGTTCATAGCAGCTTAACTTTTAATGCCTAAGCTATTTTTAAATCAATAATATTCTTAATAAGAAGAATTTTGTGTATCAAAAACTACAGGTATAACTAAACCGTATTTAGGGGGAAACCATGACCATAGCTTTAAATGTCCTTATAATTAAATAAAGAAGATTGAGAAATAAGTCAGCTAATCCTGGGTTCCTAAGAAAGCACAGCTGTGGCTAAGTCTCATGAGCGCCACTGTACAGGGGCCCGACCCCAGGCAGCAGGCTGGCGGAGGGAGACCCCAGCTGGGCGCAAGTGCCACCGCTGGCCCGGAACACACTGTCCCTTCTCATGGCACTGGCCTCCAAGCGGCCAGGTCAGCTCATTCTCTCTCGATCCTGTCTTCCAGGGGAGGAAGAGGGCAGAATTCCGCCAATCAGAGTTCATGAGTTTCCTGCACTTCCGGGCTGACTGAGGTGAGGAGCAAGGTGCAAGTGGCCAGTCACCACAGGAAGTGGCTGACCTGTGGCCCTAGAGGTAGACCAGGCTACAAAGACCTAAAATGAGCCTAAGAGTGTCTGATACACGAGCAAAACATTTTTTTAATTATCGAAAAGAAAAGAGGAATAATTAAAAGTGGAAAATAAACAAAGCAAAAATAAATGCTTTTATATATTTCAGGATCTACAGATAAATCACTGAACGTGAGAAATGAGGGCAATCACCCCTTTTCCAGATTTCCTATGCTTAACATGTGATCTTTCAAATATATCGGTTGAGAAGCCACGCATGCATCTGCGAGGCTTTTCTTCTTTCCCTTTATAGCTTCTTCTCACTCCGCTCATCCAGTCCCACGTCAGCACCTGCCACCCATTCACATCTACTGTGAACATGATTTTATTCTATAAATTGTACTGTTTCTAATTTTACGTTTTCCCCTCTTCCCTCCACCTTTATTTGCAGGTATTATTTTTGCTGCTCTGTTTTCTTGCTTTTAATTTGGAAACTCTCCCAAACTTTTCTATTCCACTGCTGCTGGATTTCCTTTCCCTGCTCTTTAATTTGACACTTACGACTCTATTCTTGGTTATAAACAAGATCCCCTCCGCGAGACAAAAGCTCTAGATTCCCAGTCCCCACCTCTCCTCTCCGTTTCTCCCCACCCCTATGAGAAGTCTGGGATGAGTTTACCTATCACTCAGCACCTGGGTTTTGCTGAAATAGTTTAATCTTCACTGGAATCTGGGGGCGGGGAGAGAGAAAGAGAGAGAGCAGATTCCTTAAAGCGATTCTTTCCCCCATCTTGGGGTCTGGTTCTGTTTGCTGTTTGTTTTCATCTTTTCTTAGTATCTTCCTCACAGCGGGACCTGCGTGATCTGCTCTCTGACCCCTTGCACATCCCAACACCATTCTTTGCTCAGACAGGTGGAGGCTGCTTTGACTGAGGAAATGACTTTAAAATATTCAAATTCTGTAAAATATTTCACACACGCAATAAAGTTCGCACCAGCCAAACAAAAATATTATGCCTTACAGTTTGCCCTATTTCAATATTTTTAATTTTAAACACAAATAAAAACTGAGGTGGTCATTACAGAATTGCAATAACTCAGGTTGTTTCTTCCTTGTCATAGTCACTCTGGTGTCATGGCTCATCAGACCTGCTGCTTGAAGGGAGAAACTTGTGTTGTCACAGGGAGTGGAGATGGGCAGCCTAGCCTGGAGCTCCACAAACATTTACAAGTCTGAACCTGCCAACCAAAACTGAAGTCCTCAGAATTAACTTCCACACAGAATACACTGCTTACTAGAGGGTAAGTAATATACATTGCTCATGGAAACTTACACATATGCTACTAAGACCGAGCAGTAATCACAGTATTGTTTAAAACTTGATCAAGAAAAACTTTGGGTGGAGTTTTTTACCTCTGACCTTTAGAATCGCTGGGCTCATGAGGATAATAGAAAGCAGATCAACTTCAGCACACTGAGTATTGTTTGAAAATTCTCTACAGAAGATGCCCCTGCTTCGGGCCGCCCCGTTTCAGCCCTTGGAGGCCCCAGACAAGTGGCTTCCAGCAGTCCGCCTTGGTCTTCACGGCACAGCTGGCACACTGGGCTGAGCTCACTTGGCAAAGGCCAGGAATTCCTACCAGACCACTGGACACTCCCCATGGCCCCCTTACTCTTCTCCGAGTAGGCAGGTGAGTGGCAGAGCTGGGCAGAGCGGACCCATTCTTTTAGTTTACTCGACTATTCTTTTTTCTGACGTTTGTAAGAGAAATATCGTTTAAAATGTTTCTTTATTGATAACAGTCATTTTAAGGCTGTTTCCCTCTGCACACAGCTTTAGCTATGTCCTAGTGGTCCCCAAACTTTTTGACACCAGGGACCGGTGCTCCTATGAAAATCTGATGCCTGATGATCTGAGGTAGAGCCAAGGTGGTGATGCCAGCGCTGGGAAGCGGCTGCGAATACAGATGGAACTTCGCTCACCCGCCTGCCACTCGCCTCCTAAAGGGCCAGGACCAGTTCCAGACTGTGGCCCCGGGTTTGAGAACCCCTGTATAGAACTGGGTATGAAGGCATCTACCTCTGCAGTGTTGTATATGTTTTGAAACTTCGCACTTGAGTTTCTTTGACCCAGGAGTTTTTAAAAGAGATTTCGTTAATTTTTAGGTATTTACATTAGTTTCGTTTTTTAACATTATTTCGTTTGCTTAGAATTGTTTCGAATTATGATCCAATTATGTGTCGCATTACACCTCTTTATTCAACTTGTGTGAGCTGTGTGTGTGTGTGTGTGTGTGTGTGTCCCAGTACATGATTATTTTTTGCAAATATTCCATGAGCTTAAATAGATGCAAAGTTCTCTCTACATATAATAATTAAATTGAACTTGCTGTTTGTATTATGCGAACAGCAGTGTATTCGAATAAGTGTCTTCATTCTCACAATTGTTTTTTGTCTACAAATTTGTCCATTTCTGGAATGGGCGTATTGAAGCCTGGAGAAAAGTGAGGCCAGCGTTCCGCGTTCCGGTCCGGTCCGCGGCCCAGTCCGGTCCGCGGCCCAGTCAGCGGGACGCCTGCCAAAACCCGGCTCCACCCAGGACAGCAGGGCGGGGGCGGAGCCAGGGGGCGGCAGGTCCGGTTGCCAGGAGGCGGGAACCGGACACAATGGGGTCCGGGAGTTGGGACGGGCGGGGCGAAAATCCAGGCACCCCACCTTGCCCTCTCGTCCGGGAGCCACAGGAGCAGGTTAGTGCTTCAACTTTGGGCCCCCCATGAGACTTCCTCTCCGTGGTGTCCTCGCCTGATGCCCCTAAAATATCCTGGACCCCTAGAACCTCGGGGAATTCTCTTCCCGCAGGATTGAGTCCAAACTTGGCGCGCGCGCACACTCCCTTACCGAACTCACTTTGGGGATGCGGGATGGTAGCTGACCTCCCAGCTGGGTGCCGGGTCCCTGCCCCATGCCCCTCACAGAGCGGAAAAAGCTGCCGTTTGTTGTCCTGGCTCCTGGGAAACCGGCTGGGCCCCGCCCCCGCGCTCGGGCTGAGCTGGAAGGGGCCGGGATGTGTGTCCCCCGCCAGTCCGGGGTGGAGGGGCCGGGGTCGCCACCTTCTGTCCACAGGTGCTGCAGACCGTAGCGCACCCACAGCGCCATGGGCTTGGACGTCTGGGTCGGCCCTTGGCGGCCGCACCGGCCCCGTGGGCCTATCGCGGCGCTCTACAGAGGCCCAGGCCCCAAATACAAGCTGCCCCCCAACACGGGTACTAGCGGCGCGCGCAGGCCTGTGCGGGTGGGGGTGGGGAGGAAGGGGCTAGTGAGGTCTGCGCTGGGAGTGGGGTGCTGTACGCCGGGGTGGAGAGCAGGAGGTCTGTTCTAGGGGGGCCGGGGGTCGTGCCCGGGGCGAGAGCACCCCGGCCCCGAGGTGACGACAGGACGCCCCACAGGCTACATCCTGCACGACCCGTCGCGGCCCCGCGCCCCTGCCTACACCTTCGGCTTGCGCCTCCCCACGCAGCAGACGTCGTGCGGCCCGGGGCCCGGCCACCTGGTGCCGGCTCGCATGACGGTGCGCGGCCCCGACGGCACCCCAGCCTACTCCATCTACGGCCGCCCGCGCCAGGCAGCGCCCTGCCTCACTCCCGGACCGGGTCAGGACCCCTGGGACCCTGGCTTCTCCAACGCCAGCCGCCACCAGGGAAACCCCCCACCAGAGCCCCGACTCCCCCTCGGGCACCCTAACACTCCAAATCCGGCAGCCCATATCGGGGTCTCAAAGAACTGCAAGCCCCACCAGGCTTCGACAAATCGTGGCTCGGTTTTCCCCTAATCTCAGAACCCCAGACCGGTTCTGACCCACACCCCCGGTCCGGCCCACAGGCAGGTACTTCCCGGAGCGGGCGGGGAACGCGACGTACCCCAGCGCACCTCGGCACACCATCGCCCCCCGAAACTGGGGCATCCACACGGTGCAGCAGACCCCAGGTGAGACCAGAAAGGCCCGTTCCGGCCCGGAG